ATTTATTCCCCAGGACCACCACGGGATTTTAGTTAGATAATATGTGTAGAATATACAAAATGCCTCCACAACACCAAACTCATACAAGGAAGTTAGTGTTCATATAGGCAGAAAGGGAGCCTATCTGGCTAGTCACCTCTGTCTTTGTATGAAGCAAGAGGCTGGGCCAGGTACGTCAGGACGACAGGGGACAAAGGCTGGGGTCTTCTGTGGGGGCTGTTGCTAAAGCTCTTTTCCTGCTCCAGAGAACTGCAACTCCACACCACAGCAGTATTAGTACAGATTAGCCTAGTGCATATTCAATGCCTACTCCTGAAGGAGGTAGCAGCCAGAGTCACCAGGACTCAGTGCAAACAACTGGCAAGGTTTAGAGCCTAAATACACAGGAATCACGGAAACTTCCGGTGAAACTCGAGTGATAGTTACATTAACTGGTTCTGAATGAGAAACTGAGAAGGAAGAGAGGAGACTGTAGATAGAGAGGCAAAAAAGAAAGCAAACACAGCAATACAGACATCAGAAAAGGTGGGAGTTAAAGTTGAATGTACAAAACAGAATGGAGTGTGCCATTATACAAAGCTGAAAAGCTCAGTAGGAGATGCAAAGCCCATAAACCTGTATGCAATACACAACCCTACAGCTCAATATATAAAGAACAAAAGTATATAAGGTGCTTCTGCTGAAAATAAAGTAAGAATTGGAGATATTCACACACATCTCTCAGAATTAGACACATCGAGGAGACAAAACAGAATAAGGTCAGAGGAAGTTAAATATTGAAAAACTCTGTAGAATATATCAATTGCTAAAGCTAACTTTAAGGAACCTGTTAATGTACTGAGGCAAGAAAATGAGATCACTGGTACTGAGAAAAATACCTACAATGATCTCTCTTGTGCTGGTATGTTCAAATATCTGGAAAACCCAGGCAATCCAAAGAATGCTCCAGTCAAATAAATGAGACAAGTTAGTATAGATAAATACACAAAAATCAACAGTTTCACTTTGTCTTGGCAAGAAGTACCTGGGCATGAGAATGGGAATAACGATGATGGAGATTAAAAACAAACTATGGAAACATTTAGGTACAAATTTCACAACAAAGGAACTGGACCCCAGCTGTGTATTCCTGTGGAAGCTGTCTTCTCTCCACTGAGGTCTGACTGCAACCCTGGCCTCAGAGTTTCCTCTTCTGTTTTCTTTGTTCCTTCTCTATATACACAGCACTTCCCCTCAGCCCTCTTAAGAGCCTCCTTCTAACCCTTTAAGTAACCACTTACTACTAGTTAATGTCATATATATTTTTTCCTGTTTCAATTACTGCTGTGGTGTCTGTCTCTGACCAGACCCTGACTACTGCAGACCTAAGTGAATTACTGACGACCCCAAATAAGAACTAAAGAAACAGAAAGATATTCCCTTCTCCCCCCAAAAAGAGTTAGCATTGCAAATATATCCATTCTTCCTAAAATACATAAATAAATTTTATATATCCCTAACTATAATTCCAATGAGGTTTTCATGTTTTGGGAACTGGGTTAAAAGAGCATAAATTCCAATGGAGGGGTAAGTACATACGAACAACTAAGAAAATCACAAAAAGTAAGAGTTGTGATGGGGGATGTGGCATGCCAAATACAAAGTCACAGCAAGCAGATCTGAATGGCACTGGCAAAGAGAAGCAGAGGTCAGGGAGACAGTGGGGAAATCTAGGAAAAGATCCTAGGACGCATTAGAATTGCATATATGACAGATGGAATTTCATTTCTGAGGGCACAGGGTGGACAGTTTGACTAAGAGGGCTGATACCAACACCAGGCATCTAGACTAGGGATTGGTGAGCACCTTCTGCAGAGTCAGAGAGTAGATATTGTAGACTTTCTGGCCTTTATGATATCTGCTTTTACCAAAAAGTTCTGCTGTGAGAGTATGAGAACAGCTACAGAGAATCCAGAAGTCAATGGGCATGGCTGTGTGACAATAAAACTTTATTTATATACACAGGCATCTGGCCTGTGGGCCATAGTTTGCTAACCTTTAATCTAGGTTTTCAGGGGGCAGGGGACTGTTTTTATACAAAGGGCTACTTAGATATTTACAGCATCATTCATGGGCCAATTTAAAAGTCAGCCTGCCATAGATTTATTGAATTACAAGTCCTACCTATGGTTGCCTTGGCAAGGTCGCACCAATTGGTTTTGTGGGCCTTATATGGCCTGTGGGCCTGATGTTCTCTGACCCAGGTCTAGAGGAAATTAAACACACCCTGCCTCTGAACCATTGCAAAAATAAATTCCAGATGGAATAAAGACTTACATGTAAAATATCAACCACAAAAACCTCTTAGAAGAAAAATCCCGGTGAACTAAGTTACAATTGTGTTAAGAAAGGCATCCATCCATCTTCATCATGCCAGGACACCAGTGGTCATATAAGAACAGCTGGGCAAATCTGACTATATAAAAATGTAAAACTTTTATGTGACAAAAAAGCCATAAACAAAGTCGAAAGAAAAACAAGACTTGAGACAAATGTTTGCATCGTGAATGACTGATACTGCTCATCCACAAAAGGCTCTTACCCATTGACAAGAAAAAGACAAACAACTCAACAGAAAATGGACAAAGGGTATGGATTTTTAGTTTAAGTGCAACTGGAGCCCTTGGAGGTTTTGGACGAGACAGTAATATGATTTATGTTTTACAAAGAGCACTCTGGCTGCTGTGTGGACAATGGATTGCCCGGGTAGGGGACCACTGTACAACTGGGATATGCTCGCAGAACCCAAGAGGAGACTTCCTAGGTGGTAAGTGTGGGCTGGTTTGGGGTGAACCCATCTGTGCCCAGCTCCCACAGCATGGAGGCCCAGGGGTCAAGAGTAGATGCCTTGATCTTTCCTCTATGGGGAGGTGAGGTGAGAACATGCTGTGGTGACTTTTCTCCAGTTTTCCATACAAACAAACATGTGCTCTGCTTGTCTGAACCTGAGCACTTGCTGCAGCCAGGGTCTAGTCCTGAGAAAGCAACAGTGGCCCCCACTGGTCATCCTCCTTGGCTCTGCTTATGGGGAGGGGAGGCAGTAAGACTTATTGTTATTAACATTTATTTATTTGAAAGGCAGAGTTACAGAGAGAGAAAAAGACCCCCCCCCCACATGTATCTTCCATCTGCTGGTTCACTCCACAAATGGCTACAATAGCCAGGCCTAGGCCAGGCTGAAGCCAGGAGCCAGGGGGAGTAGGAGCCCAAGCAGTTGGGCCATCCTCTGCTATTCTTCCAGGTGCATTAGCAGGGAGCTGGATCAGCAGTAGAACAGCCGGGACATGAACTGGGCCCATATGGGATGCCAGCATTGCAGGCAATGGGTTAACCCACTGCCCCACAATGCTGCCCACCCCCACCCCATTGTTGTTTTGAGGAACTGGAAAATTCTTGGTATGGTGAAGTAAGGTACAGGAGGACGGGGGAACACTGACAAATGGGAGGGGGCCAGAGCATGAGCCTGCAGCCACCCAGCGGGTGGTAGAAAGGGGAAGACAGCATTGAATTCTCTTTGCTCTGCTCTTTTTTTTTTTTTTTTTTGGACAGGCAGAGTGGACAGTGAGAGTGTGAGAGAGAGAGAGAGAGAGAGAGAGAGAGAAAGGTCTTCCTTTACTGTTGGTTCACCTCTCAATGGCTGCTGCAGCCGGCACACCGTGCTGATCTGAAGCCAGGAGCCAGGTGCTTCCTCCTGGTCTCCCACGCGGGTGCAGGGCCCAAGGACCTGAGCCATGCTCCACTGCACTTCTGGGCCACAGTAGAGAGCTGGACAGGAAGAGGAGCAACCGGGACAAAATCCGGTACCCCGACCGGGACTAGAACCCAGTGTGCTGGCGCGGCAGGTGGAGGATTAGCCTAGTGAGCCGCGGTGCTGGCCTTTGCTCTGCTCTTGAGGGCTGGGGACCCCATGACTGCCTGTGAGTCATTTTTAGACAAGAGTTTCTAGGTGGGAAGTGGTCCAGTGAAGAAACAGCAGGCATCTCCTTGACCAAGAAGTGGATTTGAAAGCCACACACTCACCTAGCACCAGGGACAGCGGCTGGCGTGACAGGTAGCAAGTGGGAGCACGGAGCCTGAAGCTGGGAGGCCAGCTGGGTGGCTCTGCACAGAGCCTCTGTTTTTTTCAAATGTAAAATAAGAAGCATCCTAAGCAAGGAGGCATCTCTAGAGAACAAGGGAAGAAGGCACAGAGACGTGAGCGGCCGGGAGGGGCGGCTGTGCTGTCATTCGCTGCGATGGGAAGATAGTGTCGCCACGGAGGGACCCAGCATCTGGCTGCTCTTTGAGGAGGCCTCGCCACTGCCTGACATCTCCTATGGAGCAGGCAGAGGAGAGCAGGCCCAGAGAAGTGGGGGGCGGGGCAGCACTGCTAGCACCCCTGCAGCTGTGTCCCTCGCCGTGGCACCCGACAAGGTGAGGAAGTTCCTCTCCACGACGGAGCCTCGGTCTGGTTTCCCAGCTGGTCTTTACCAAACAGCGTTGCCTCGCTGTGCCCAAGCACACTGTTCTGCATGCTGGGAGGAGCACGTGGCTTCCGGGCAGCACCTGCCACATGAGCACTCAGGAAGTCCTGGGTCCCTCTGTCACTTATGCACGCCTACAAGCCTCCTCACGAGTGGATGCTCCACACACTGTGCAGAAGGAAGCACCTGCTTCCCAATGAGCACGCAACTTCCCACAGCCCACCAGGAAGTGAGAGCCCAGAGCAGAGGTGACAACCACGGGAGTTCAACTCTGGCTATGGCATCAGATCCGCTGGGCCAGGGAATGGCCTGCAGCCTGATTTTATGAATGAAGATTTACTGATGCGTCGCTATACCCATTCCTTTACATATTATCTCTGGGTTCATTTTGAGCTTCAAGGAGTCGCTAGGTAGACGTAGAAAGTCACGGGCGATCACATGGCCTTCACAGCCTGCAACACTCGCCACCTGTCCCTTCACAGGGAAGTTTGCTGGTCCCTGGAACACCTGAATTTAGCAGGTCAAGGCTTCCCCATTTCTAAGAAGCTTCCAGGTAATGCTGACGTTCTTGTTAATGTTCTCGGCCAAGGAGATGCCTGCTGTTTCTTCACTGGGGCACTTCCTACCTGGAAACTCTCGTCTAAAAAGGACTCGTAGGTAGTCATGGGATCCCCAGACCTCAAGAGCAGAGTGAAGAGAATTCGACGCTGACTTCCCCTTTCCACCACCCGCTGGTCTAAATCGCGGAGGTGGCGTCCGGTCCTTGCGGGCTTCACGAGATCTATTCCTGACCACCTTGCTGTGAATGGCGCAACTCACACAATAATGCAGCTTCACACACAGCTTGGGAAGCACACGGGCATCGAAAACGCTCGCTTCGGATATGTCCCTGACGGCCGCGGCCTCCACTATGTTGCGGATTACGAACTTCTTAATGGCCTTGTCCTTGGGCACGCAGCGAGCGCAGTTAGTGCAGCGAATAGGCTGCATGTGGCCGCGGCCCTTTTTCGCACGGCCGTTGCTCCTTCTTTTCTTTGTCATCTTGGAACCAAGGACCACCGCTGGGTGGCTGCAGGCTCAAGCTCTGGCTCCCTCCCATTTGTCAGTGTTCCCCCGTCCTCCTGTACCTTGCTTCACCATACCAAGAATTTTCCAGTTCCTCAAAACAACGATGGGGTGGGGGTGGGTAGCATTGTGGGGCAGTGGGTTAACCCATTGCCTGCAATGCTGGCATCCCATATGGGCCCAGTTCATGTCCCGGCTGTCTACTGCTGATCCAGCTCCCTGCTAATGCACCTGGAAGAATAGCAGAGGATGGCCCAACTGCTTGGGGCAGTTAATGTGGCTGGTTGGTGAAGTCACTCTCTGAGAAGCAAAGTTACACCCAAATAGAAGTACAATGAGCCAGTCAGATACCAACCATGACAGTAGCCCTGCAGCACGACATAACTTGGGGTGAGCCATGATCAAAATCAGTCCTGGGCCTTCTTCTCCCAGGCCTCACCAACGTGACTGATACAAGCCTAGCTGCACAGACCAAAGAAGGGACTGGAACACTCATGCATAGTGTGTGCACAGTCACAAAGCTGAGACACAGTGGGGGACATGCACTGCCTTTTTGACCCCCCAGCGTCCATTCAGGCCTCTCCTGATGACAGCCATTGGGAGCTGTTTCTCTCTTCCCATTTTTGTCTCCAAGGTTTGGGTGGGGCTGATGCCAGAGATACTGCACCTGATGCAGGCCTTACCCAGTCAGAAAGTACATCCCCTACTCGGCCACTGTCATTTGTTAAGGGGTGTGCATGTGACCCAGCAGGTTTCCATGGGACTTTTCCAGGGAAAAACAAGGTAGGTCCTCCTGCTGGATCCAAATCCCAATTGCAAGGAGACCCCTTCACAGGAAAGGAACCAGGATGGAGGCGACAGCTCAAGTGACAGGGGGCAAGAAGAAACCTGGTGACCTTGTTTATGCCCCAATCAAATGCTACTGTGGATTGGGCTCCCTCCCAGTGACCTTCCCAAGGACTTTCCTGTTATATGAGTCCATAAGTCCCCTTTACTACTGCCATTTGGAGCTGAGGTTTCTTGGGCTTTGAAGGAAGAATCCTGATCCTGATGGGGAAAAAGTCGCACAGCTGGCTCATGAGCACGCCTGCTGTTCCAGATACCTTCTTGTGAGATACCCGCATGTCTCAACCCATTCTGTCCCCCCTGCAGATGCAACATCAGTGAACGGCTGCCCACCTCGGGGCTGCAGCACCCGCTGCCCTGGTAAACACGAAGGCTGCTGTTGCTCGTAGACCCAGGTGGGTCGCTTCAGTCTTTCCAAATGCAACCAGCTTACGTCGCTACATTTCCTAGGGTTTGAGATGAAAGATCTCGGGAAAAAGGTCAGGATTCCTTCCTCATGTAAACTGAGTGAAGAATAATTCAGAAAGTACCAAAGGTACGTCATCCCAGCCAAAGCGACACCAGGTAATGTTTCCTTAGCAGCAGCCATTCCATATTCTCCTAGCATGTCCTCAATCCTAAACCAACCAATGATCTTGCTCTCCTTTTCCTTTTCATTCTTTTACCAAAGCAGCTTTCAACAAAGAAACAGACTGTAGAGGGTCCATTAGACAACCCTCAGAATCAGGTTCACAAGCATGTGAAAAACACTTATCTCTTTGAAAGGCAGATAAACAGAGACAGAGCTAGACATTGACCTCCCCTCCGCTGACTGACTCCCCAGATGCCTACAGTTCTACGGCTGGGCCAGGCCAAAGCCGGGAGCTGGGACCTCAATCTGGGTCTCTCACATGGGTAGCAGGGACCCAAGTGTCTGAGCCACCACTTGCTGCCGCCTAGGGTGCACATGAGCAGGGAGCTGAAACTGGGAGAGAAGCTGCGACTTGAATCCAGGCACTTGATAGGGGTTATGGTGTGTTAACTGGTAGGCCAAATGTGCGGCCTGAGTGCCCCAGTTTTTTTTTTTTTTTAAGAAGACAGATATCTGGATTTGAATCCTAGGCCCACTACCTACTAGATATGTAAGTAAATATAAGAAACGTAAACTCTGCATCCTAATTTATTTATTTAAAAAACACTGACCTTGATGGGTTGTTGCAGATGAGCTAATACATATAGTGGTTAGTTACAAGACTATTATGAGATAACACAAATAATATTCTACTCATAATACTGATAATGTTTTAGCTCCTCAGCCGTATCTGCATTTTCATAGGGTACAATTTCTTCCTTAATCCAACATTAGGAACACTAATGTCAGAATTTCAGGTCCAACAACAGACTGCCCCAGGGGATAAGCCTGGTAGCAACTCCTTAATTAAGGTATTCAGGAGGATATGTAGCCTGCAGCATTGACTGTGAAACTCAGAAACACAGGTCCTGTGTGCGGAAGGGAAGAAAGATTCCAGAGACTGGAGAAGCGACTGGGTGACACTCAGGCCTTAAAAATCTAGTTCTCAGGTCATTATCATCACTGAATCCCGATAGACTACCTGGAGGGACCATGCCTCCTACCACATAGGTTTTCCATTAATACAGCCAAAGACAGCATCATCTGGCCCACCTCTGTAAGTGGTATCCCTCACATAAACCAGGAATGCCCTCAAAAGCCAGCTACCAGCAAGCATAGCTTGGAGAAAGGGCCCAACGGCACAGAAAATTAGTTCTCTCACTGTAAGAGCAGTTGCAGATTCTCATTTAGCTGGCAACAGAGGGAACTGCAGATGGCCAGCACAGCCCTGGGTTTTCTCTTGCACCTAACAGCATTTTCTATGAGACAATGTGATCCCAGCTTCCTTGGTACATGAATGATCCATGGAATGTGCCTTCTTTTAGCAAACGACAAGGTCAGAAGGTAAAATTCAACACAGTGTGGTATCCAGTACGTTTGCAAGCAAATCCTTATCATTTCCCATTTTGGAAATTTCACATTTCATTTTGCTTTGAGAATTCCATAACTCCATGGAAATGTAGATGAACATCATTGAAAAAAAATAACAAATAATGTTCAGCTTGGGGGGAAATCGTACATTAGGCTCCTGATAAGAAACGGGGAATAATATTAAAGACTTCAGGATAACACATCACTGAGAGAAGAAAAAGCCATTTGTTGTTTTCACTCCCCGACTGTGGGAAGAGTTACTTGAAAGGTTATTTTCATAACCTTGAGACTCTAAATTAATTTCTACAAAACCCATAGAAAAATTTTCCTGTTTTCAATAACTTTATCTTTTTCCTCAAGAGTGTTTGAATCAGACAAAATTTTTCTTTTCAACTGAAAAAAAAAAATACAGAAGAGATGTGCCTTCCAAGAACTGGTACTAATCTACTCATGTCCATATTTGGTGATAAAACACATTGCACACACCAGGTACATCTTCCATGGGTGCCGTCCCTTGCAGGAACATGAAGGTCGGGACAGAGCCCACCTACGTGAGCCCCATCTTGGACAGCTCCTTGCTTTGCTAAGAGCTCACCTGGTTACTGGGACAGCCATTGTTCAGCACCCAGCAAGGCGAACATGGAGCTATCAAGAGAGGGAGACGTAGGACTGCTAATGCAGTGTGCACTCCTGGTGGACGGAGACCTCTGTTCAGAGATGACTGGAAAATTCACAGAGCCCTTGGGTGACAAAATGGCGCCCCTCTCCACAAAGCACACAAAATGGCGGCCGTAGAACCTCCAGGAACAGTCAATGGTGGCCAGGGTTTTTACTGTCTGAGGAATCCATGTGTGAGTTCAGGCCTTTGGCGGGGTGTTCCAGAGTTAGGTGATTTCCAAGGTGAGGAAGAAACATTTAGAGACCGGGGCCAACGAAGGCACAAGCAGCCAGAGAACAGCAAAGGGTAGCCATGTGTGTAACCCAGGCTCCAGGAGATGATGCTGTGTGCAGGAAGAGAAAATTTGGGGGCCAGCGTTTGGCACGGGGTAAGCTGGTGCCTGGAACATCTGAACCCATATCATATGCCTATCAGAAACCTCTCTACTCTGTTTAAGACTCCGCTTCCTGCTAATGCACACCCTGGAACTTGAGCCACCGTCAATCCATGTGGCAGATGGGGATGGAGTTCCCCTGCTCCAACTTTGGCCCGGCCCAGCCCCAACTGCTGCAGGCATTTGGGGAGGGAACCAGCAGATGGGACATCCCTCCCTCTGTTTCTCTGTCTCTCTGCCTTTCAGACAAATAAATGAAAATAAAGAATTTGAAAATGACCCTGTGTCTACCACAGATAAGTGGACAGGGTTCGGGGGCATGAGATGCAAGGGTACCCCCGCAGCAAGCCCCTTCTGCTGGATCCCCCCTTCCTCCCGGAGGCTGGGGATTGCCTGGCTGTTCCTGGCTGCACCAGGCAGCAGCCCGACTGCCCCCTTTGGCGGCCTCTGTGACACCAGCTGCTCTGACAGGCCAGGCTGGCAAGTATGCCGTCCCTCCTTTAGGGAGGCTGTAATTATGTTTAGTTAGACCTTTTCCTTCACAAGGCAGATGCCCAGAGCAAAGAGAGCGGAGCAGCAGGAATTTCAGACACTGTGTACAGCTCCCCTTGGGGGACCTCTGGGGCAGCAGCCTTTACATCACGGTGACAGAAAACCAGTCCTTGTGGACTCGGCCACTGCGTCTTAGAGACCTCGCCTCCCTGTGTGCCGGTGTGCGTTCAGTCTCTCTCTCCTTCCCCTTCCCCGAGCTCAACGCACACAAAACGCCTTGTCACACTCAGACGCGCATTCGTGAGCTGTGCACGAGGGCGAGACTCACAAGCACACCCAGGGCAGCAGCGTGGCCTTCGTCCCCCAGTCTTGTGCTTCTCAGTCTCCTCTAAGGCAGGTGACGGCAAACCAGAGCTCGCAGGCCAGGTCCTGCCCTCCACCTGCTTTATAGATGCATCTCGTCGGAACCCAGACTCACTGGTTTGTGAACTGTGGCTACCTTTGCTCCATCATGGGTTGAGTATTCACAGGAGAGATCGGGGTCCACAAAGTCTACATCGTTTGCTCTCTGGTCTTGATGATGCATACTCTAAAGCAGGATCTTATATCTGCAAAATCTTTTTTTTTTAATTGTCAAGT